TGTTTGATCGGAATGTAGCAATGGGTCCTGTTATGAATACACGCCGTCCCACACACTGTAACAGATGCAGATGAAGACGAACAGTATAACAACAGCTTGTGTAGCTGTAGGCCACAACATTCACAGGGGAAACAGTAAGATCCTCTAATACAACACAGAGAGCACCAATCAAATCACACTTGGAGAAATATCAGAAGAGGTAGAAACTTTCAAATACCCGGGCAGTATCCTTGATAAACAAGAGGGTTCTGATACAGATATGGAAATACGGATTGGCAAAGCAATGTCAGTACTCCTACAACCGAAAAACATTGAACTCAATGCAAATGTCGGACATCATAGTTAGAATTTTCAACACGCTTTTAAACAGCTCCATTTTAGTGGCCTAAGACCTTAGGTTGGTCGTTTCTGATTGTTATAAAAAATATTTATGTCGCCAAACTTCGTATATAATCGTCGATTTACCTCGTTGGTGAATAATGGAATTAAAGAAGTCAAATACGAGAATGGATCCCAAATACGTTTATTTCAAACAATCGTTGATCAGAAAGCGAAGCAAACCAGAATGACGCGTAGTGGAATTGACTCTCCCCCACTGTGCGTCATTCCACTTCTCTTCTCCGATGGTTTGTCTGGATCAATGATTGTATGAAATATATGGATCCGAAGTTCATTCTTGCATTTGACCTACTTAATTCCGTCATTCACTAACACGATTTAAGTCGATGAGTATATATGAGTATAGCAGGGATGTATATTTCGACAACAATCATACGGCCCAATTAGCCATATTTAGAGCCACTAAACCATTGTACAGAGTTGAGACTTCGAGCACTGCCACAACTACCATCATAAAGGTAGAGGAATTTGCAAACACTTGTCTATACAAGACACTTAATGTTTGTTTTCCGGATAACATCAGTAACAACCTACTATGGCAGATAAAAAACCAACTTCCAGTTGACGAGAAAACAATGGAAAGATATTACAGGTGGATAGGAAGAACATTAGGGTAATGCTAAAGGTCAGTCAGTCAGTAACAACGTGGAACTTCGTACGTACGTACATCAGTTCGAGTTGCCATACCACATTAGCACAGAGATTCAGTTATCGATTCAAATCCCATAGTGGTAGAGGTAGTGAAAATATAAGTAGTGATAGGTAACATTAGGGTTTGATGATGTTATTTAAGGAGTATAGTCCAGTGGAATAGATTTGGAAAGAAAATAAAAGACATGAAGAATACAGAAGATTAGAGTTTGAGAGAACACAGAGAGTGGATGCACCTGCGCCATCGCAAACGATTTTGAGCCATGTCATTCAAGGTCTCTAACCATCGGTTGCTATCATCTCGCGGTCCCCAACCAGGTAGTCTACACCAACCAACATGTCTCAGTCCACTTGTCAGTGACTTCATGGGTTTGTGCCATGTTTTGGTCTGGCCACCCCTAGCTTTCTTCCAACCTACTCCTACACAATAAAACATAGCATGAGCAACACATGTCCCAGCCATCTCAACTGATTAAGTTTCACTACTTCATCAATTGATTTTCCATCCTTACCTAGTACCAGTTTCCTAACAACTGAGCTGCTTACTCGGTGGTCCCAGGATATACGAGCAATGTTTCGAAGACACCTATGATCAAATACTAGTAACCTACCAATATCCTTTACTCTTACTGGCCATGTTTCACTGCCATAAAGTAGGACGGAACGAACTGCTACACAGTAAACATGTCCTTCAGTTGATAGACAGATATCTCGCCTACTCCACAAATGATGCAAGTTGGCAAGAGCTAGTCGAGCCTTCTGTATCCGTGATGAGATTTCGTCACACACCAGACCACAAGGGCTGATGAGACTTCCAAGATAAGTGAGGCGGTCGACACGCTCAACTACTTCACTCCCTATCACTAGTTCGGGTGTCGATGTAACCCAATCCTGAAGCAACATTTTGCATTTTGAAGGAGAGAATCGCATCCCGAACATGACTGCATTGTTGCTTGGAGTGGTCAGCAGACTCTGCATTTTGTCAGCGTCTTCACCAAATAGAACTATGTCATCGGCGTATTCTAAGTCAACAAGTGAATCCCCCGGTAGAAGTTCAACTCCTAGAAATTCAGATGAGTAAAGTGTCATCTCTAAAAACACGTCAACGACAAAGTTAAACAAGAATGGAGAGAGTGGACAGCCCTGACGAACACCACTTGAGATAATCAGTTCTGATGACAGTTCACCATAAGCTCTCACTCTACCAGTTGTGTTCGTGTAGAGAACCTTTATAAGGTTAATGTACTTCTTTGGTACTCCTTTCAGTGACAAACACTGCCATAGAATCTCACGATCAACAGAGTCAAATGCCGCCTTAAGGTCGAGAAATACTACCATTGTGGGGCGTCTGAATGTGTGTCTATGTTCTAGGACCTGACATAGTGTGAATATCTGGTCTATACAACCACGTCCAGGTCGAAAACCAGCTTGATTTTCTCTAGTCTGCTCTTCACGAGCTTTGGTTAGACGTCGAAGTATTGTTGAAGCCAATATTCTAGACACTATATTAGTCAAACTAATTCCTCTGTGATTGTCACAAGAGGACTTTTGTCCTTTCTTATAGACTGGCACAATCAGTGATTGAGACCAGTCAGATGGGATTACGTCCAGTTCCCAGATTCTACCTAAGACCTCAGTCAATCTCGCTGCTAATACTGGACCGCCATCCTTAAAAATATCAGGGGTGAGCCTGTCAGGGCCTGCTGCTCTCCCACGCTTCAGATTTCCTATAGCTTTTTCAACTTCGTAAAGAGTCGGAGGACTTACGTTAACTTGCCATTTAAGTTACTTGGAGATCGTGGGAAACCGAAGTGTGGCTGAAGGCCAGTTGAACTGATCCCTAAAGTGTTCTGCCCATCGATCCAATCTCCTGGATTGAGAATGAATAATATGTCCATCTTTCTCTGAGATTGTTTTGCTAACAGTTGGGTTCCTAATACCGGTTTCCTTGACAATCGAGTTGGTTCGTAACTTTGACATGGTGAGGTTAAATGAATGACACTACTGGGATCCTGTGTGTGCGTTTCGGGGATGCAGCACACATCGATGGAGCGAGATTCTAAAGTCTTAGCTAAGGGGGCCTGGTGTCCTATTTGGCACAGTGTTCGGACGTTGAAAGCTCCTCCGTGTAGTTTAGAGCGTGGTTTCAGGAGACCAGGAATAACATTCCGCGTACTCGAATCGTTTGCACTAGTGGGGCGAGGTGATAAAGGGACGTGAGAAGGGTTAGTCATGGAGATAAGAGAGTTATTAGGTGTAGGAAAGATTTGAATGTGACCAACTTGGTCTCGTGTGCTGTTACGGGTATGAGGGTTGATATCACTTCCCGGTTGCCCACACTGTGGAAGTATTTTTTGAAGAACCTGAAGAGGAAATTAGATTAGTGTTGGTCTTAGCGACCTGGGTGCGTGACCTCAGAGCCCAAGGGACAACTGCTTGAGGCCGGTCGCGCACGGCCTTTTTGTGGGAGGTTTTTAATGTGTTATCTTCATTCTTCAAACGGCTTTACCACCGCAGACGGAAATCCGTGAGGTAAGGTGAGGTGTGACATTTTAAGGGTCAACCTTTTCTAACCCCTTCGTTCCTTGTGAGAAGGCAGCATCGCTGTAGATGCTGGTTGTCCGAGGGAAACACCTTACTGTTGTCACACCTCTGTACAGTCAGCAGTACGACTTCGCCGTCAGACCTTGAGTTGCTGCTTTTAGTCTTACCGTTCTCCAATCAACCTGCCTGGCATGGTAGAACCTTCAGGAACATGTGTTCCAGCCAATATAGCTCGGTTGGGTCATCACGATAGGCAAGCCCGACTACCACGTCAATGTAGCAGCTACGGTCTGGTAATGCTGAAGGTAAAAGAAGAGGAAGACCAGGGGACACACTGAGCAGGGAACTGGAGACCGAGATCAGAAGAATGAGTAGCGATCAGAGAAAAACTGAAAAAGGGATCGCAGGTCAGTTTGGAGATTGCTGATCAGAAACCTACGCTCCACAAGGTTTAGTGCGACTAAACTTAATGCCAAGTAGCAGTCTCTTTTACAAGAATATGACAACTTATTAAAATACAATGTAAATATCGTATATTCATTTGTTTATTCACAAGATTTCTTTACTAACAATTCTTTTATCAAAATCTAAAAATATTACTATGCAAGAGAATTAAATATACATGAGAGAATACTGGAAGTCAAGATCGAGAAAATAATAAACAATGAAGGAATCTACAGTGAATGCATACGTTGAAAATATGTAGAAATACAAAAGTGAACTAAATTAGGAAGGTTTCACTAAAGTTCATTCCTATAACGACGACTAAGATGGCGAAAATGGTTGTACAAATTTCTTTTGAATGCAAAAGCTAGGTTCATGAATAGAGATTCCGATAGATTCAGTAATATGTACAAGACAAACTCGCAAACAATGTGGTAAATTTGACGGGATATGGTAGATAACGTTTAAAGCTTTATTAAAATCAACTCGATCTTTTTTGTTTACCATGTGAGAGTTGAACTCGTAGTCACTCCCACCTGTCCTTTGTCCAATCAAGATGGATGGTGTTCCGCTAAGATGATGGACTTCCAGATGTGTACAGTGGGTCGCTTAAAGAAACAGTCAGTCACCCAACATCTTACTGCCACCCCACAGGAGATACTTTCAAGAGCAGTCTCTTGATTCTTATATTACAATACTGAACTTTCCTCAAGTATTAAGTAATGTCGCAACCTTAATCGAAATTCCGATTAATTACTTTGATTACCATAACCCTTTCTCCCAACTACTTAATTATTTAATGTCATTTTATAAACAGTTATATAATTATTGTGTTAAACCATTAATGGCTTGATATCAATATCAATATCAATATATATATATATATATATATATATATATATATATATATATATATATATATATATATATATATATATATATATATATATCTCATCTAAATGGGAATTTTCACCAGATTAAAAAGACAAATTGCATTCTACATTCATTTATTCTAACAAGACTGCATAGAATTACTAATATAACGGTAAAACAAAGGCTGTTCCTTTGGCCAAGGTATGTTACCACAATATGATCACACGACCTGGAAACGAGATCATGCGGCGACTACATTGAGCATTCAATCGACACACTATATGTAGACTGGAGTCACGTTATACCAGACACAGATTCTCAAACAGTAAGTTTAAAGTAGAAACCAATCTTAATTATGGAAGTTAGAATCGTAAAAACTGCACTAGTCACATTAATCTATCTTTAATAAACTATTATTTAATTACCATTTTAACAGCCGTTTCTTTTTAAATGATGTTCATCAACAGCTCCAAACAACAAATACCTAATTAACGGATTTAACGAAATTGCCCCCAAAATACATAAATGACATAATGGTAATAACGACAAGACTATCACTAATCAGAATATCAAGCTAGACTGGATAGATTTAGTGCGTTTATTAAACGAACCATTTGCATTAAAACTGATTGCCACAAAACATTGTACTGAGTGCCGCGTACTACAGGAAAGTGAATCAAATTCAAGTTATATGGTGATAGATCCTAAGCGATAGAATATTGACAACTCACACTATATTAGTTCTTATTGAGGTCTACTTTTTACGATAAACAAGTCAATATGAAATAAATAATGAACGCACTAAATAAAAACTATAATACAAATCAAGTATAGTAGGATAACCCTTCATATAGTTTATGATTTGTACATAAATCTGAGGTATTAGGCTGAGGTAATGCCATAAGTTCAGATACGGTTGAAAGCAAAGATATTTACCAAGTATGATAATACTTTGTTTTTATTAGTTGGTGAATCCAGAAACTATAACAGAAACAATGTACAGAACATGGTTCAAGATTACAATTGGTTGAAACAATACGTGAATATCACCAGGAAGAAAAAAGCAACGAATATTTAGTAATATGCACTAAAAATAAGAAAGATTATGTAAAAATCACCCTTAAACAAGTTTCCAGTTATCCAATCTGATTTACAGAGTGAGTGTATAGAGGAAATGACAGCCGAATTGAATAAAGGTAGAATAAAATGGGATATTTGGATAGTCAAAGCAGAGGTAAGGGTAAGCACTTAAAACTGAGTGGTCTACTGAAAATGTTCATTGAACTCTAACTGGAAAATTTATTCAGCTAACAATCGGGGCACACATATTTTGACCCCTAGGTCCCATGGAATCCGAACGATGATTCGGTTGATTTCGTTGCTGATTAGGGTTTTTGGAGTTAACATGATTGGCCGAAGATTTAGAAACACCTGTATGATTACTTCCACTATTGCGAATACTTTCACCACCACCCCGTTGAATGCGAGGAATTTGACGAGGATCTAAAGTTGAAAGCGAAATATAGATTGTTGTGAATATGAAAAAAATAATAAACCACAATTCGATTATTATTAATTAATCATTTTAAGCTTTAGATTGTAATTGATAAAATAGTGGATTGATTGAAGTTAGATTTGCATACTATTGGCTCCCGGCTCAGTGGTCTAGAGATTAAGCATTTGAGCGAGACTGGATGTCCAGGGTTTGATTCCTAGTCGCGGAATCGTCTGTGAGCACTGCTGAGAAGTCCTGTACTAGAACAAAACGACCATCCAGTGCTTCCATGTTTACACTGATTGCCTAACTTAAATAGGTTTGTAATATCAATAAGATTGTCCTACTTTAAAAAATATGGAACTGAACTGTTAGTTTGGACCAGGACGTTTTTCGAGAGCTCAGAATGACGGTGAAATGCAATGATGAGACGTTGACCTAAGATATTTACCCTACTAATTGTTTGTTTAACCACCAGAGGTGTGGCTTTTCAAAATTGTTGTTGATATGTGGGCGAGACTGACAATGATAAGTCGTTTAGTTAGTGAGACTAGTAGTCTGACAGGTACTAGATGAGTTATATATTCTCTTAACCTTATTATTACTGATTTTTGTTGGATTGTGTCGGTTTTTTGGTGTGGAAATATATTTACGTTCTGGTCAGGCCAATCACGTGTTCTTGGTCTGTATTGTGATGAAATCCTGTAGAATAGACACTGGGAGGGGAGGCAAAATAACGTCCCATTCGTGTAGACGAGGAAACTCCGAGCGTTGTCATATCGATGAATCAGTCTTATGTGATTCATGCAACTGATCAGTTAGTCACTAACAACAAAAGATTTGGTACATATGTACATCCGTTCACACCGTTACATCTTACATCAGCACAACAGGAAATCAACGAGACGAAAATTATAACGCAACGGTACTGAAAAACTAAGCAATTCATGCTGTTATTTGTATTACCGTCATTTATCTCTGCTTATAATTCATACTGTAGTTGTTTTAATGACCTCGAAAAGAATATCATGGGATTCAAAACTACTGCTTATGATTTCATAGACTGTTATTGCCATCTACTTATTATATCGATCGAATGTAAATAGGCGATAGGTTTTTGGTACTGCATGAACTATGTGGTACGCAGAAAACCATCATACTTCTAACAAAGCCAACTAAAAAAACGCCCCCCCCCCTGGTATGACCGATAGTGGGGTGGGCCCGCCCTCCCTCTCGAAATGCTCTCACATGGCCACGCGTATACAGCCTCTGCCAGGGAAGTCCTACTCACTGCCTTCTCGCAGCAGGGGTGTTGTCTACGAAAATGAGGACGGAAAGCGAATGTCCGGCGCTTTAACCGGATCCCAAACCAATAGTGTACATGGGTTCCAGTATCCTTCGGGAACAAATGGCGTATGAACCAATCGTTGGTCACGGGCTACCGTGGGACTGCATCTCCTCACGATGCTCCACTGCCTTGTGGGTCAAGGGTTCCGGGTGTGGCCCCCTAAGAAAACCACCTGCTTCGGTCTGGGCACCCGAGCAGTATCACAGCCGACACACAAATAAAATTTTGTGCGGCGCATATATATTTGGTGCCCTCTTGTACCAATATTTGTATTCAAATAAATAATAAAGAAACTTTTTCCACGATAAAACAAAACCTCCACGAGATAAGCTTTTCGTCTGACTTTTAACAAATGACAACATAGAAATGTCACCCTTAACTTCCTTGGTATCTAAAAGCATTACATTAAAAAATTAACAATGATTCCATGGACATGTCAATCACAATGTTATTAATATTTTATTTGAACACATAAATATTGATATTAAGTGGCATCGAATATATAAACGCACCGCGCAAGTCATCTGCTTCGTGTGTGGGCTGTGATACTGCCCGGGTGCCCAAACCGAAGTATGTGGTTTTCTTAGAGTCACACCCGGAGCCTTCAACCTAAACTTCTGAATCACAAGGCAGTGGAGCAACGTCAGGAGGAAATGCAGTCCCATGGTAACCGGTGACCAACGATTGGTTCACACGTCATTTGTTCCCGAAGGATACTGGAGCCCATGTGCACCATTGGTTTGGAACCAGGGTTTTCCGACTCCCCTAAGTGGACCCTCCTTGTCCACCAACCTGTTTAAAACACTGGACATTCGCTTTTCGTCCTCGAAATTTCGTAAATATTGATTCTAATCTGTTTTTGATCATGGTTGTAAAACAAAACTACTTATGGGTAAGTGATTGTGGATAGTAACTGTTAAGATCATTTCTGTGTCGATCATTTTAAGATAACTAACTGTTCAAGATACAGCTTGTCGCAGTCAATGCGTTGGCAACTTTATAATATGGCTGAGTCATCCCATATTTCTTCAATGATGAAAAAGCCAACATTCTGGTAAGAATTCTCACTAGTTGATTTAATGACAATATACTGCAACATTTCTTTACATTGAAGAACAGCCATAGAAACAATTAAAATAATGTCGTATCGACAAATGTGATTGGTTTATGACGTTAAATATGTCAAGTCACTGTTCATTCCGTTTATTAGTGGAAAGTGTGGCTGCAGTAAGCGCAGTCTGTAACCAAAACTAGATGTAATATTTTTTTAAATGACGTAATGTGACAACACTAGAAAATACTTTATATAAGTTCACCGAACCCAAGTGAAGAAAGGTTTAGTAGATTATCGGTCAATACTCCAATAAAACTTCTTTTGATAGTCTTTTAAACATACCTGGTCTTATGTGATTGACTTGAGGTCTCGGCTTGGGCTGACGTCCACCAGGATGTGGACGTGGATTCGTAGTGTTGTTATAAGTAGTTTCTTGTTTTTCCGGATCATCCTTATTTGAGCAACTATTTGAATGTACAGCATAGTTAGATTCACTGCATTTCGAACTTTGATTATCACCGTTTGATATACGATGACCATTTTCAGAATGTGTGAGAGGATTTGAAGACTCATCATTGCTACAATTACAATCACAAAGAAAGTACGTTTTCTTTATTCAAAATGGGATAAAAACATCGCTAAACAAGGATTAACACGATTGCATCCTATGTAGGACACTCAAAAAATTTTACTCACTTTCTCTAGGCAAGGAAAACTGAACAAGTTTATTGAAGTCATTTGATAGTAGACTAGATAAGTGGTTTTTCTCTGTGATAACGGCATGAAATATAGCAATATTAGTAAACTTTATGTAATATGATTTGAAATCGGTCTCTAAGGAACAAATTTATTCATTTATTATGGTGCTCCCATCAAGAACACGGTGGTATGGAGTGTCTTTCACTCCTCGACTTCATTTCTTAATTCTTCAAAATTCATGAGCATTTACTTTTAATTTGGCATTTATGTATGGATTATTATTTTTTACTCACTGGCTTCTATGTTTATAAGAAGTATAAAAATTCGATCCCATGCATATTTATCCTAAATTCAAATTTGTTCCCTACTGTTTGTCTACATTGAAAGTTTATACTAGACATCAAAAATATTTTTTGACATGAAGTGTTTCACACCATAAAGATTAGTAATATTTTGATATATTTTTGATCTTCGGATTGCCTAATATAGTACACCTGATCCAAAGTATCTACTGTCCTTATTTTTATCTATGATTAGAAAGAATGCTAATTTGGAAGTCATATCCAATAACGATATTTTGTCCGTGACAAAATAGATTATCAACAATCTAAGATAAATTCTAAGAGACGGACTGTAAAAGATCGAAAAGTTATCGTGTGAGCGCCGGCGGTGACAGTCGGTTTTAATATAGTAGTGTTCTGTCATTTATCATTGTGTGACAAGTTAGGCTAATGGACGTTTGTATCCGATCATCAAGTTGTTTGTAAATGGATGATCGACAATAATTTATAAGGTAGTGTAGCGACATCAAGAGATAAGGTCCCATAACAATCGGTGACCAAGAATAGGTTCATACGTCATTTGTTTCATCAGGATTCTGAAGCCCATGAACACCATTAGTTTGGAATAAGGATTTTCCAACTCCCTTAGATGGATCTTCCATACCCACCAACCCGGTTTGAGAGCTGGACATTCGTTTTTCGTCCTTTCAATCTCATAAACAACGCCAATCATCAGAAGGCGGCGAGTAGGACTTCCTTGTCAGTGGGTATAAAAGCGTGGCCATATGAGAGAACTTTGAGAGTGACAGCGGACTCTCTTCACTCTTGACCACACCAGGGTATTTAAGGGCAATCCCGCTATTCATTATATTTGTAAGACGGAAATGCAGCTTTTTCTGTCACCCTGTTCAATAGCTCAGTAAAACAGTTTGCGATTAGATACCTGTAAGTCAATATTCAGTAAATAGAAATAATAGTAAACAAATAAAAAATATTGCTAAAAATATCGACAACGGTACCTGTAGGATACCATGTTTAATATCAAAATAAACTTAAAAATGCTGGTTCGAAACAGGTAGTGCAACAACCGAAACCCTTGAATATCAACAGTCAGGACAACACAGTTTCTATAAAATATGATGTGTTGAGTCTAAGATCACAAGGATCGAAATAGGTAGACATACATACTAGATGAAAAGCTCAGTATTTTATTCAAAATCTAACGAGAGCCTATTAAAATTTGACACTTGGTGAAAATCAGTTACCTTGAAATATCTTCAAGTGGAATGGTCGCATCCTTGGGTTTTAATATAGAAGGTGGATTCTCAACACCACGAAGCCGATCTAACTCCTGTAAGCTTGCGACTTGAAACTCCAAAAATAACTGTGTATCACGTATGGCTTGCTGAGTTCCCGTTAACTGGAATGAAACGTGCTCACGATCGTCTTCAGGTGATTTAGAAATCTTGATTCCAACAAGTCCCACTCGATCTACGATATGTTGTACGTGTCGACGGCCTGATCCCAAGATAGGACCTACATATGATTTAGGTATCTGAAAGATGTCTTGAGAGAAGTCCAATAACTTCTTCGCGTTTTTAACAGCATCTTGTGTCTGGAATGAATAGGTACCGTATTTTATTAAGATATTGTTTATTTAAGGAAACCATGAAGATATTAAGTGAGAGGATAAATAACGCTTGTTATACTATGAATAAGTCATTAAAATCTAACTTATATGTCCACAAAAACAAACTGTACACTAAATAAAAACTAGCTTGTAATAAAAATGTAGTTACATTTAATAATTACTATATATATAGACAGTTGAGATAAATTTAGTGTTACAATATAGCATACTATTCACCGTACCGATTATAGGGTAATGTTATACCTGGAAAATTAACAAAGGCTATATCAGTCCTTAAATAATATACTCAGTAATGTTAATTATGTAATTCGATAATCACGTGTAGATTTACTTGGCTTTGAACCAAACGTTTTGGTGTTAATGATATTATCTAGTTATCGAAACCAAAGTAGGTGAAAAGGGTTTTGTCTGTAGTTTGATGGTAAGTTTCAGCATATTAGGCACTGAATCATTACCCTATACATCAACAACAACCTACTGTGCAGTCATCAAGATAGCTGCCTTCAAGAATTCGGTTACTTAGCCCCTCAATTAAACTCCGTTTAGACATAAACCACCAAGTTGATGCTAATTACTTTGATTAAACACATTTAGCTTGATAGTCCAGTGGCAAACCTTTAAGCTGTCACATCAACTAACTAGACAACTGTTTGTCGCTGAGGCACAAGATATGGTTCATGTTACTAGGTGGTTAGAAATAACCAAATACAGGAAATATCTCTACCAACTAATTATTCAACTACTACAGTTATCTAAAGTTTCTTTCTTGAGCCACATTTATATTCTGCAGTGTAAATGAACATTAGAATGAAGTAAAAACCAACAAAAAAAATACTAACTAGTCCATGATTGTGTTCTATTCGTCTAATTTGAGTATTCAAATTAGGATTCCATGTCACTCTAGTTAAATGAAGTGGAAATCGGGTAAAATATAAACATAATTCGGAATTTCAAGATCGATAGGATTTTGTAACCCTGTCTTTCAAATGGTTTCCCAAAACTAATGGTAAATTGTATTTAAAATATTAAAGCTCGTATACAACTTTCTTGATTAAAAGCAGAATTAAACACGAATTAAATTAGTAAGGATGACTTCAGTCTCAACTTACCAACCTACTTAATGAAAGACGGAAACAAGTGAAATTGACAATACTAAATGAAATATTGAAAAAACCAAGCTCAAACTCGATAAGCAGTGCGTTCTTGTAACCCAGTATAAGATCGTATACCATACTGAGTTAAATGTATGACTGCTTGGCGGACGCAAATGGATTATTACTCATTAGTAACAGATCAATTCTAAGATTCTGATCCATAAGATTCAATTTCACTGTAGTTCGATGAAAATACAGGCATGTAAGGCCTTCCATGTTCATGATATACATCACATTATATATATATATATATATATAAAGACGTTGTTTCTTTTTAGTGATGCATATCATGAACACGGGAGGTCCTACACTTTTGCATTTTTATCGAGTGACAGTCAAACCTTTGTAAAAAAAATTAGTTAATCTTATGTCTTGTTATGGCCGAGGGCGAGGAGTCCGCTATCCCTCTCGAAATACCTCCACATGACCACACGTATACAACCACTGACAGGGAAATCCTACCCTCTGCCTTTTCGCAGCATTACTGTTGTTTACGAACTTGAGAGGACAAAAAGCGAATGTCCGGTGCTTTAAACAGGTTGGTGGACAAGGAGGGACCACTTAGGGGAGTCGGAAAACCCTGGTTCCAAACCAATGGTGCACATGAGCTTCAGTATCCTACGGGAACAAATGGTCACAGGTTACCATGGGACTGCATTTCCTCCTGACGTTGCTCCACTGCCTTGTGATTCAGAAGTTTAGGTTGAAGGCTCCGGGTGTGACTCTAAGAAAACCACATACTTCGGTTTGGGCACCCGGGCAGTATCACAGCCCACACACGAAGCAGATGACTTGCGCGGTGCGTTTATATATTCGATGCCACTTAATATTTATGTGTTCAAAAAAATAAGTTAATCTTATGGATTAGAATTCTAGACTTGATTTGTTATTAATAAGTAATAATCTATTCGCTTCGATCCAGTCAGTATGGTCTACGACCCTATACTGGGTTGACACCTAGTTTCCTTCCATTACGTTGACGAAGTGAGGCGATTAAAGCCAATTCATGCTTGTATTACTTTTATCACAACTGGGACGACGTTAAGTGCCACGGTCCTGACAAGTTTTGACTAGATTTTCTTTAAATCCCAATGTTCGTTTATAGCATTTTCCAGCAGGAAGGTATTTGGGATCAAAATTAAGACTCGATGATTTCGTTAGTTAAACTTCATTACTACAAATAGCGGGAACTAACCCAAACAAATTTTGTGGCTAATTACCAGCTCACGCACGATTTCAGAAATCCATGATATAAAGCACGCTAAAAGCGTGTGTAAGCACATGAAATTGTTACCTTTCGTCAGGACAGTGCATGAATGCACTTACTAGGCCTACGAATTAACATTTACTGTTTGTTTCAAAAGCTAGGAGTGGATAAGAATAAATTAAAAAATGAGATAAAGTATCCGGTTTGTGATATGACCAGATTTTTATACAACTACAAGTGAATAACTAGTCGATAGACTGAGCTGCTATTATCAATAAATTTAACTAATGTTAGCAGCTCTACATATGTACCCAACTGAACCTTTACCGCACTAAACAGGTCTATCAAATTTGAGACACAAAATGAAAGTACATACCTTCCCAGAAATCCTGATATTACCGGTCTGACGATCTAACTTTACAGAAAGTACACCTTCAATAGCACTAGCGCGTCTAATATTTGACCCTTGAGCGCCAATTGCATAATGGATTAAATCCAGAGGTATGAGGAATTCTTCAACGAATGGTGATTGCTAAGACACCATAAGAAAGTAATGAACATACCTGATTAAGACGCGACGCCACCAACTTTTTGGATAGTTCTTCAGTTTGTTGCAAAATGGAGACTTTTTGTCGCAGCATGTCAACGAACGTGTTGTCGATGACCGATGCTCTGTTGATTGTGGAGATATCTGTAGAAATTACAAGCAAACGGGACTTAAGGTTGTACGTCTCACTATCCCCCTTAATAACTGGCGACACTGGTTTAAATGTGTCAGGCGCCAAAGTGATTAGGACAGGCAAACCACATCGTCGTGCGAAATGGTGGTAATTGGCAGGCTCTCTGCAACTGAGAAAAACCAAAACAGTATTAATCATAACTATAGAGATACAAAGTACGAAACAGAAACATAACTTACTATGGAGCCAACTCATCCGGTATATCTATAGCATGGATGTGAAAGGACGAGACACTAAGATTGGGATGATGAATCCGTGGTCTCAATTGGTGCTTTTCGACAATATCCGTTTTCTCAAGTGATGACGGATGAGGGACACTGATGCGTTTGTTGGGGAGGACAGTTACTTCGTTTGAACTAGCATTCTCAGAGGAGAAGTCAGCCATTAACTCCACAATAACAAAACTCCCACCAATTTTTCTTACAACAGCTGGCCACCAGGCAGAAAGTTTAGAAGCAATCGGATCACTTGATGGCTCATGGTCTACATGTGGCTCGCCAGGAGATGAGCTGATTAACACATCAACCTCTAGTCCTTGAACTGGTTCCAGGACTGTTCCTGGGTCCTTTGGAGGGAGACGCAACGAGGAAGGAGGGAGAGTGAATTCCACAAGGGCTTTCGAGTGGGAAGAATCTAATAGTGTTACATTAAGTTCTTCTAGGGATTTCAACCCATTGATGACACCCTAGAACAAGATTAACAACAGATAAAGAACGTACGGGGTAAAACTCTCCATATTTGCCTTCCACCTCTACCGGTATGCAGACCTCTAATTGAATCATCCCAGAAAATTGAATACCCCTCGGAAAAGTACCGTGTTGATCAGACAACCAAACCACCATGTGTTTAGTAAAATAATGTAACCATCTGTTCTTCACAATAAGATCGGGAAATTAGTTCCATTATTTACAACTATTTTTATACTTAAATTTTGAGTCTGTTAGCTGACGGTTAGAAAACCTAAAGCAGCTTTTCATCGGGATATTTCCATTGTAGCGGTATATACCTGTGGCATCTTCACCATCACATTCACTTTCTTTGATAAAAGTCAGTCTTGATTCCACTAAAACCATTTCTTCGGCTCCATGTCACAAAAGTTGATTATTCAGTGGAAAAAGTACCACTGTGAACTAATAGTCTAAAAGATAGATATTGAAATGATTAGGTGTTCTTTATGTTATGACATAACTAATAGATAATAGGAGTTTGTTCTATGTCCGTAGGCACTTTATTTGTCATTTACATCATGACGATGAGTATTATATCGGCGATCTCGAGCTCACAATCGTCTTAGTTAACCAAACTTTGTCACCATTTTTTTATGACATACGATTGTCGTCCATACAAAATCCACTGGTCTAAATAACACCAGCTCTGAGTAAAGAATGTGAAATTCGGTCCTGTCCATGAGGTTTGGTCCAATCCAATGTCGATAATAAACCTAAGGGTTTTATCCCAATTATCCTGCACGTGTATAGAAAATAACTAGTCCGATATTCACCAGATATATCATTTACTTGACTAAGAAAATATGATTAATAGTCGGGATTCCGCAAATTTTAATCTCGTTTTCACAATAGCTGTATAAAAACCTGTAACAATTGGTAATTCTCCCGAAGAGACAGCCGAACAGTCATTCGACTCTAATTCTGGCACTGCTGGTTTCCAATGACATTGTCGGCTTGAGGCCCTCGGTCAGGCATAGTGGTCATATCTCATCACAACACAACTCCAGGCTCATGCACCCCCCACCAATACAGACGCCTTATGTCTCGCTATATTTATCTACGCTCAGATATACTGTCATATATACAGATATGCTATCCTCATCCTAGTTTAAATTACAGAGTGCCATCTTGTGGACACGTCAAATAAGTCTTGGAAATCGGTGCTGACCTCATTGGTTTTGCTAGACAAACCCCAGCCGAAGGCTCTTGGTCAAGCATCTATATTGGTTCACCACTGGTAGGCACTGCTACCTGTCTCGTGCGGCCGTAGTGTACGTTACTTATGTTGACAGATAAAAGCAGTATGTAACGCTGATTAGAAGATTAAGAACATCGAAGCGAAGAGAAGAGAGAAGAAAACGGAAAGCAATCAAAATATTAACAGGAATGACAAAAGGATGAAATTTGTAAGAGACAACTAATGGAAGATGTGCAAGTAAAAAATCAGTGTATGGCTTTCATGCTCTACGAAGGCACTCTAATTTTGCATCAAAAAACAACTTCACATTCCCCACTGAATGTATGTGACATCGTTAATAGTTCTCTCAGTGTACTGAAAAGTTCATATCACAACTCACCAACATAGTGTCTGAACTCACGACTAAACGATTCTTTAGCACATCACATGACATTTTGCTTTGAATAAAGATTCGGCGGCTCCTTCATTTCTAGTCAGCTCCTATCTCCAGACCAGATAAACAGCAGTCGTAAATAATTGTCTCAAATTCCAAGCCTACCTAACTTATAACCATTCTGTTTGAAACGTTGCATCATAACTGGTAGGTCTAAAGTCAATCACATAAACAGAAATTTACCCCCACATAATTTCATTTTGTGCCACATTGCTGTTTGTAAATTTTCGAAACAAAAATGACATTCGCGATACTAATCACATTCGGAACATATAAGACCGTCCCCTGGTATCTATTCTAACAATGTGTGATATAGCTGCTACCATGTTGAAAATAGACCTTAAAATTTATGGCACAGTGAAAGTACAGCTCTTCAAGCCTTTCTCATGTAAAGAAAACTTCAATACCAAACGTCTCACTTCATGACATACTGGGAAGGATATAAAAAGTGCCGTTTAAATTGCATTATTGACTAATCTGAAACGAAAGAATAGAAATTCATTAGAGACGATGAATATCATCGAAAATATTGCTTTTATTTTCATAGGCGATAGTAAACATATTGGAAAGAGCGGAATAACGCTGATGCATTGTGAATGTAGCTTTCGGTTCGAAAGTCCATAACTTGAATTCTAAGAATATCAGGAAGCTTGTATTTTAATTTCGTTCTGTTTGTCAAAGCTATTCGGACCACTACCAGATCGCCCTGGGTCTGGCGCTAATATTTCTCGGCTCTCTACATTTTCAGCAAGTCCACATCAAAAGTCTTCAAGACAGCCGTTCTTTCACGGACAAGTCATGAAATTTGCCGACAAGTAATTGCATCTTTATGGCATCTACTTTAAGATAGATCAAGACCGGTTACATGAAACCAAATCCAGTCCTCATATCCTGACTGGTAAACTGATACGTCGCTCTGGTAGGTCCTTGACGCTGCTCTTTAAGATTATTCTGAAATCTCCAAGAATGAGATATAGATTTGTTGGCCTACTTATGAGTCAAAACAATAGTATCAATCTCTAATTCAGATTGCTCAAGAAGAGGAAATACTAAAGGACTGACTGAAGTCAAACTGTTACTTTTCTGCTCAGAATTTTGATCTAATGGGTTGGAAGTGAACCATCATCATAATCTTTTACAGAAATCGGAGTTAGAGGACTGCAGCCCATCAAGAAACTGATGTAAATCATTTTCATTACAGTTGTTAATGAATGTGTTTCACTGGATAACGTTCGTTGTAATCTTTGTTTATTTTGAAGGGTTTGTAGTGTCATTGAGCCCTAATCACACAATCCTAAAAGCTGAACACGAGAAAACTGGAAAATATATATTCAACATTTAACGTGGAGAAAAACCCTACAATGGAGAAGGAGGAAGGAATTAATTCAGTTAATTCGAATTGGTCGGATGTCATGGCTCGACCTTGCAGTTGTGGTCATTCTTCAGTGCTTTAACACAATCTGTTGTCCACATTAAACATATTGTTCTATCTCCAATCTAAGTGTGTTCCTCATCATATATTGTTTGTTGCGATGCGACGGGTTGGTGTAGGCAATGATGTGACTTCCATGTAAGATCATATAGATTAGTCAGTTACATTATGACAAATCTGCAATGTTAGGATTAGGTCTATTATTAAGGCAGTACTAATACCGAAATAGATCATAATCCTACAGGTTCTTCGATGATCTGAGAGTCATGAAATTCTCATCCAACAAACCATTTTCGTGCATCTTTGAAGATTATTAGCTCGACTCCTTCTGCGTGGAGAGAAGTTTCTTATTCGTAATCGTAATGCAACAAAATTTATAAATAGTGAATCGGTCGCGGTAGCTCGAGACTGGAGAAAAATGGACAAAGTTGTGAAATCATATATTTGACCATCATACAGTGACAGTGCAAACTAGAATACCTTTCATTTGAACGACCACATGACTGAAAACTCCACATATGCTAGAATGAACTTCCATAACATTAAAATACGGCGCCCAAACAACAAGGGATGTTTACTGCCACAGGGTATGAGTAAAGTTTGCAATGGTGCTAGTGAATTTGAAATAATATAATGAAAGTGAACTAATTCCAGTAAGTCTAGAATTTCAACAAGATTCAATCAAGAACTCAACTTAGAAGTACGCATCATCACATTACGTTGTATTACTATGATATGCTGAAACACAACATACAATATTTAACTATGCAGTAAGTTCTTTCATTACTCACCATATTTCTCAAGTCATCATTCTTCTCCTTTCGGTGTAACAATCGCTACCCACCACGACGGAATAGTGGCTGCTAAATCAGAGCAGTTGGGTACGTCTGAAATAGCTTGGCTGCTAATAGTATCAACGATAGATAGCTATTGAAAATTTCAGTCTTACACCCCTTACCCTTGGAAATAACATAGGTATAACAATGTGATAATTTCCATTGGCAATCTGTGGTTAACACTGAGTACTCGATCATCGGTTTCATTTTCAAAATCATAAGAAGCCTGATTCTTGTATTACTGAAAAACGCTGCTGATCATAAGTGTAGGTAATCCATGTGGATGGTTGGCACATACTGGAGTTGGATGGGAACGGTGTGACATCCTAGTTTACGAAGAGGTCACATCTTGCGGTCAATAACCAGCCTGAATTACCACTTCATGGCGTCATTTACCATGACTAAGTTCCATAAGTTGCTCAACAATTTGTGATTTGTCGCCTAATGTGGAAATATTCGATAATTAGAAGTATTTAAATTATTGTACAACCTAGGAACCCCAGAAATAACGAAATTCAACCAATAAGTGCTAGATGAGCACGAGCGAATGTATTGTACCTGGAATTCGATATCATGCAGTCCTCAAGCACAAGGGAGTCATTGGTTCACACAAACACCACATCCGCCACAGCTGAAATGAGAATCAAATTTCTGTAACCAATTATACCACTTCTGCTTAGCTTTACCATGTCTCTCCTATTGTGTATTAGATGTCGACTCCGTTTGATCTAGAGTGTACTCAGTATTAGAATTAATAGCTACAATTGGAACGGACTCACCTGGGTCCTGAAGATGTATTCAATCACCGTGTCGGTTGTGTAGTGAAACCACTGATATCTAGAATTTGAATCATCGATTTTCTAAAACTATCCTCTCACACGAAATAATGTGGGGTCGTAACGTCGCAATGTTATGAACAGTTTGATGTTTCAAATTTGCATTATCTCATATCTCACGCTTCGATTATTTTATGTGAGTATTTGGGGATACACACTGACATAATTCGAGGCATCCCATCATGTGAATTTGACTCGTATAAAAAATATGATACATATTCCTTTTGCTTTTCATATTAGAATACACAGATAAAAATGCATTGATATGTGTAATTAACACATGTGATTCATGTAAGCACGATTCACCTGCAAAAAAATTGAATGGAATATATGCACCTGCCTCATACCCATT